CCCACAAACTTTCACTCCTAGTAGTAGTAGTAGTGGGGGGAGGTCTAGTGGCCATAGTTTTTTTTTTTTCCCAAGTATCTGGTCATTTTTCTTCTGAACTCTTTCCTTATATATTTAAAAAAGTTTTATTTTCTCCATTTGCTTTCCTTTTTCTCTACTTTTCTGATTTTGTTGCACTTAGCTTCATTTTGAGATGTTTCAAATTTTCTTCTGCACCTGATATTTTATACTTTGCATATGAATAGTATTTTTAATCTATGGATTCATGCATTTAACATCTCTTGAAGTGTTATAATGATTGCTTAGGCATGCATTGCCTACCTTGTCTTCCTGCTTAAATTCATATCTGGAAACAATTTTGAAGTTTGGAGAACTAGGGTTAGGTATGTCAGTACTATGGATTGGATTGCAATAAGAAGGTAGAGTGCAACTATATCAAAGCCACTACCTAAGTATCTGAACTTCTGCCTTCTTTGCTTGGCACAGTTACAATTCCCAACATAACAAATAAGGAATTTCTGAGATAAGTGAGCAAAGGAAAGACTTGCCTTCTTCAGGCATTCCATTTGGAGATAAGAATAGGAAATCTGGTATCATTCAGTTGGCACTGTGACTGTGAAAGTATTTGGCACTGGGAGATAACCATCAGTAGCTGTAGAAACCGTTGGGAAGACCTTATTTTATAATGTTTGCAATACTGGTGTGTGTGTGACCTAATGTTGGCAATAGACCACTGGTGGGTACATAGTTATGAGTCTATATCCAAGGACTTGCCTAGACAGGTGTTTCCCCTGTGATCAATGTCTTCATGATATTTCATTGAAGGGGCTGTGCGTGGTCTCTGCCAAAAACTAAGAATCTGCTGGTTGTCATGGTTGTTGTAGGATGTATGTATGGAAAATATTTTATGTTTCAAAGCTGCTGGAAGTGAAATTTCAATTGAGGCAAGATTTTTCTCAGAGCCAACTCAATCAAGGGTTTAACTGATCACCATATTTGGGGTCGGGAAGGAATTTTCCTCCAGGGCAGATTGGCAGAGGCCCTGGAGGTTTTTCGCCTTCCTCTGCAGCGTGGGGCACGGGTCACTTGCTGGAGGATTCTCTGCACCTTGAGGTCTTTAAACCACGATTTGAGGACTTCAGTAACTCAGGCATAGGTTAGGGGTTTGTTACAGGAGTGGGTGGGTGAGATTCTGTGGTTGCGTTGTGCAGGAGGTCAGACTAGATGATCATAATGGTCCCTTCTGACCGTAAAGTCTATGAGTCTATAAGAATGAGAACAATTGACATTGTTTGACCGAGCCTAACTAAGTGTTTATAGGCTAGGCGAGGGGCGGGCTTGGGCCTTTACAAAGCACAACAGAGCCCCCCCAAAAAGACCTTGACTAGGTGGACCATTGGGGGCAAACTAAAGTTAACAAAACAACTCGGTCATTGAAGAGAGACAAAAAGTCTGGAACTGTATAAAAGGAGAAAAAAGGACATACGGTAGTATCCATTACAGTGGTGACACTCTGAGTGTGTCATGAAAAGTGCATTCTAGCTCTCTACAGGAAAAATGCTGTACAGACTGACAATTGGGTGAGAGATAATTTATTAGTTAGGAAAGGAACTTTGTTAATAAGTATAGGCTATGGATGATGTTTTATATTTTTTATTTTATCTGTAACCATATGTTTCCAATCCTTATACTTGCTTTTGATTGAATCTTTATCTTAAGCTTTGTCAAATAAACTTCTGTTTGGTTTTGCTACATATGTGACTAAGTGCTGTGTGCTATGGAGAGTCCCGAATTGGGGTGAAGCTAGTGAACTGGGGGCACTGCTTCCACAGAGGCAGTGAATCTTTGTGTATTGTAGGTGTCCGGAAGTTGAGGAACTAGGCACTTGAGTGTAATGAAGAGGGGTGTACAGATTGGTAGGAGGGACCTGGGCTCTGGGCCCAAACCAGAACTTGGGACGCTAATTATCTCCATAGATTTAGCCACAGGTTGTCTGCTCTGCCCCATGGACTCA